CAATCTCCCGCCGTTCGTTGTCTCTCCTCCTGAAAAATTTGCCCCCGAGCGTATTCAAGTTGGCGCAGCAAACTCCAGGTGGTGGCTTCGAGACGGCGAGGTTGGGTGGGCGGTGGATCTAGTTTTACGTTACGAATCTGGAATGAGAAAATCAGCATTGCTTTTCGACGATAAATTATATGAACCTAGCCTGCAATAGATGTAAAGCAATATTTACAAACTGATGGTTATAGAATGCGTGGAGTCATGTGCGCCACATCACACATGGCAGTTCCCTTGCTTGCAAGGGTTCTTTCTCCCCCATATTGAAGCCTGATCTACCCTACCATCAATTTCCCACAGCCAGGGTGATTTCCGTGATGCTTTCTCAAGCCAAGCAAGGGTGCCGTCGACGCAGTCGACCCTTCCTCTAGTTGATACTAGCTTATTGATAAAACAATACAACGGACGAATGCGCATCAATCACAAAATATCCAAGTCTGGCCAGTAACCACTTGTTTATTTGTTCCATTCAAACGTCTAGTGAATTGGCGATTAATAAACACTCATTATCGTCCTGCAGCAAACGTGGTCTTCAAATCATAAGTTCTGCTTAGTCGGAATGATTCTAAACTCTTTATGGTGTGAACCATGAGAAGCGATCATCGCGATGTGATATTGTGCGCTATGAACCTTTCGCCGTATGACCATTCCAGCGTCAAACAGCTCCTTGGGATCTTGGTTTGGGCACGTCATTTCTTCTGTGACGAGTTGGACTGTCCTAAGCGTGGATACTGAGAGGTTAGTGCTTCTCTGCATCTCAAGCATATATACCGACAACTGCACAACACTAACAGCCAGAAAATAAGATATAGAATTTGTGCTTCTTTCATATGATGTGCAAGCTATACGTCAGCGGATTGCTTCATCCAATTATCAACTTTCTCCCGCACAAGTCTCTGCTTCGTCGCCTCTGCCTTCTCCTCTTGCTCCCTCAACACCGCCTTGAGCTCTTCCCGTGGCACCATGATATATGGCAGCGTCATGAGCATGTCGAAGGCGTCGGGGACGGCGGGAGCTTGATAGCGTGTCTCACGTTCCTGTGCCTGTTTCACCTTCTGCGCTGCAGCGCTCACCCTGTAATTTTCATAGATGTCTTTCCAAGTCACGCTGAGCTCGTCTCTCAGTGTCTTGGTGCCAAAATGGTTCCGAGATCTAGAATAGATCGAGGTTTAGTTATTTTTGGCTCCAGTGAAGTACGGCGCCAGTGTAGACGGCGTCGAAGAGGATGGGAGGGGGCCACTCAGGACTATCAGAAATTCGCAGTGGAGAACCCAAAGGGAGTGTGTCGTTGCCGAGAGAAAATGGGTCGTCAGGCCGGAAGAGATGTGCTGTGTACGTTTTCTGTGCGGGCGGAGCGGTGGGATCGATGTCGGCCGTGGTCATGGCAAAGTTAGGTGTCTGTTCATTGGCGCTGTCAGGTTCCAAGTAGGTACATATTGCACAAGTGGTACATGCCGTTAAGAATGCGACGTTGGTACCCAACGACCTGTGAGTGAAGGCGTTCAGTAAAAGACCATTCCGGACGCTGTCGATGTCCTGTATAATGTCGCCTCCGGTGGGTTCTCGACTGCGGCGCCGAGTATAATCCGCAATGTACTACCAACGTTGCGATAGTGAGCGGGACAGATTGAGAGTAAAGAATGCATACCTCATCACCCTTGCTGTGGGCCACAAGATGTACGGCGTCACACACCTCCTGGGGATAGCCCGTCAAGACACACTTGCTTCCATCCCGTTCTGCAACGCCGTTGTGGAATTCAGCATTCCGAGGGGGGGAAATACTGGTGGGGATGCTTGTGCGCTCGACGTCAGGATCGACCGGGAACATCCTTCGCCTCTCCTTTTCGCTGGTGTGATAGTAGAGGGCGGTGGACTCGGCTGGGAGGACCGCATTGTAGTCCACAGCATCGGGCGAGTCGGGACTCGACGAAAGGTCACCTTGTGCTCCAAAGATGGCTCCGATGGCATAGCGAATCCATTTGAGTGGCCGTTGCGAGAACTGCAGTGCATTGAGGGTCTCTACTGGGATGGTGAGACAATGGACCCGATGCCAGTTGGAAGGATGAACATCAAGGTCGGCGTCAAGCGTCACGGCGTGAGGGAGCAAAGCATAGACTTGGATTTCAGAAGGAGCAGACGCGGCCATGAAGACTATGTTCTCTCGTGAGATCAATGACAGCATATCGTGTCTCAACTGGAAAATATTCTGTTTGTTAACGTTTTATCCTGATACCATGCTCCAGTTCCCTCCTAGTTCCCGCAATAATCCACCTCTTCACCGACTGTCACCGACGAATCGTCATCACAACGTTCGGTATTTGTGTGACCGCCTACAAATCGGAATTGGATGCAAATAATGGCATGCATTCAATATCAGCACTCACAAAGAATAACGTGTTTCCCCGCTGCGACTGCAGCTAGAACCTCGTGCAGAGATCACCTTATTTGCAGCAGCAACGAGGAAGAGGAAGGATTTGCACCCGAAGAGCCATTCGGACCGATTGCGGGGAAGATTAGATTAGATTGAAAAACACATGACCGGAACGTAATAACCGGAGGACGCTATAAAAAATTGGAGTCGAGCAAGTAGCCACAAACTTTTATGCTTCGAGCTGTGTCGCGCCGTGGTCTGAGCCGAGTTCCAGCGATGGCCAGAAAGAACCATTCCTACGTTGCTGACCCAAATGCAACTCCACTCCTCCGCTACCAGCAATCCCTCCCCTCTCTCCCCGTCCCTCCACTCCAGTCTACCATACAAAAGTACATTGAAACCGTCGAACCGTTACTGACACCTGCACAGCTGGCACGCACAAAGACCAGCGCTGCAGAGTTTCTTGCTTCACCACAGGCAGCAACTCTCCAGGCTCGTCTGCAGGAACGCGCAGACGCTGTAGGCGACAACTGGCTCAGTGCTTGGTGGAACGATGCAGCGTACATGGGCTACCGCGACCCCGTCGTCGTCTTTGTCTCGTACTTCTTCGTTCACCTCGCCCACCCCTCGCGCTCCACCGGCCCTGCCTCTGCTGCCCAACTCATCAAAGCCCTCCTCCCCTTCCGCGCCCTCGTCGAGTCTGGCACCCTCGAGCCCGAGAAGGTCAGAGGCGCGCCCCTTTGTATGGCGTCGTACAAATGGCTCTTCCACGCGTGTCGTTACCCCGCCATCCCCTCGGACACCGCGACAAAGTTTGCCCCAGAGAAGCACAACCATATCGTTGTTCTGCGCAAGAACCGCTTTTTTGTCGTGCCACTCACACACCCCGCGACCGGCGCGGAGCTCTCTGCTGCGGAACTCGAGCTGCAGTTCCAGAGGATCCGCGACGCTGCGACGGAGAGGGGTACCCCCATCGGTGCGCTCACGTCGGACAACCGCGATAGGTGGACGCATGCGAGGGAGAGGTTGATGGCGATTGAGGGGAATGAGGAAAAGGCGCGGTTGGTGGAGAGCGCGATGATTGTTGTGTGCTTGGATGATACGGCGCCCGTTACGAGGGAGGAGGTCAGCTGGGGGTCGTGGGTCGGTGATGGCAGGAATAGGTGGTATGATAAACACCAGCGTGAGTTGTTCGTTGTCTGTGTGTGAGCAAGGCTAAGGTATTGGTGTAGTCATTGTATACGAGAACGGCCGCTCCGCATTCCTGGGCGAACACTCGTGTATGGACGGTACGCCTACCCTGCGCATGAACGAGTTTGCTCTCGGCGCGCTGGCGCACGGCAAGATCGACCTGGGCCCCGCCCTGTCGCCCACCTCGGGCAGCGAGATCCCCCATCCGCAGGAAATTGTCTTTGGGACGAACGCAGAGGTCGAGAACCTCGTCAGGGAGGCGGAAAAGAACTTTGACGAGCTCGTGGGGGAGCACGATCTCCATGTGCGTGTATTCATCTATCTACTGCCCAATCACCTATGCTAACACCGCTTTTTTCATTCACGCCCCCAGGTCCAGCACTACGAAGGCTACGGCAAGGCCCTCATCAAGACGCACGGCGTCTCCCCCGACGCGTGGGCGCAGATGACGAAGCACCTCGCGTACTACAAGATGTTCGGCCGCCTCGCGCCGACGTACGAGAGCGCGCAGACGCGCAAGTTCAAGCTCGGCCGCACGGAGGTCATCCGCAGCGCGTCGAACGAGGCGCTCGCGTTCGTAAAGGCCATGGTCGAGTCCCCGCCGTCCCTGTACTCCAACCCGTCGTTGCAGGGGAAGCTCAAGCACACCCCGCAGCACACGCGCGACCTCCTGAAGCAGGCGGCGGCGCGGCATATGAAGTACGCTGGGTGGGCGGCGGACGCGCAGGGTGTTGATCGGCATTTGTTTGGCCTCAAGAAGCTCGTCAGGACGGAAGAGGGCGAGAAGGTGCCGAAGTTGTATGAGGACGAGGCGTATGCGCGCTCGAGCCATTGGGAGCTTAGTACGAGCCAGTTGAGCTGCGAGTGGTTCGATGGGTGGGGGTATGGCGAGGGTACGTGCTTTCTTTCTTTCTTCTTCGTTTGATGGTGCGTTGTGCTGATGTGTGACGATGTAGTGGTGCCGGATGGGTACGGCCTCTCGTACTCCATTGGCGACGAGTACATCCGCTGGACGATCACGTCGAAGAAGAGGAAGACGGAGGTACTGAAGCATTATCTTGCAGAGGCGGCCACGGAGATTAGGGATATGATGGAGGCGGCGAGGAAGGCGGATGCACAGGCTGCTGTTGCTGGGGGCGAGGCCCAGAAGACGGCGAAGCTGTAGAGTCTAGATCGAGGCATGTTTACAATTAACTTAGGATCTTGTATGGTTGCGTAGAGGCTAGAGTTTGGAATATTAGCTGGGATATATTGTAGGGTCCTGGTATGGATTATCAACCAAAATATTCGTGATAGAGCCTTTTCTTGAAGTGGAGAAGGAGCGAATTGGACGGGGCGAGTAGTGCAATGCGAGTAGCTCAAGGTTGGTAGAGAAAAACGAATGATAGGGCAAAAATCCGACCTGCCTGGTTCGAACAGGCGACCTCAAGATGACGGTATCCCTTACAGTCTCGCGCTCTTCCAACTGAGCTAAGGTCGGTAT